GTAAAAATAATATCAGATGTAATTTCGTTTTATCGAGAACTTGATTATATATATTAAGTGCAAATCATTCAGAAACATAAGAATATGGTTAATTTATGGTAATTTTTATCCGCTACCACACACCAGTAATAGCTTTTTAGAACCTACACAAGATACATATTTAACAAAGGTATTAGTTGACCTTTCGAAAAGTCGTATGTTGTTTATTGAGTTAACACTTATTGATGCAATGAAGGTAATATTTAGTTTCATACTATAACAATAACAAAAAAAATAATTCTTTAAAATAACTAATTTTCTTTTAGCTAATATAAAATAATGTACACACACCTTGAAAACGTAAGATATTTTATACATACTTTGAAAATGTAAGCATTGCTAGTGTTTAAGATAATCTAAATAACTACTGAAAAATAGACAAAAATCATATACTGCTGATGTATTTATTACTTACTCTCTTTCGCTAACAACTGCCAAAATATGCCTTCCGTAATTATTATATATTATTCTGATTTTCATATAACACATTTTTTTTATATATACTACTTTCGTGAAATGTTGGATGAAATAAAAAAATTATTATTTTTAAACCTCTGTTCCAATTTTTGAACAATTCAGTATTTATATTTTATTCCTTTTAAACTTCAGTAAACTTTATTTTTAATAGATGTCCAAAGTTTAACTGACGCCACAATATATATAATCGTATTAGGTTGTTCAAGCCTACATGACCTTTAAATATAGAATTATGTGAACAATAGAAGTAGATAAACGTGTTGATGTAAGCTATCAAATGAGTTAACTTTACACAAGTTAGTTTCGAATTATGAATTTTTGCGTGTTAGGATGAACATCCAACTGACTTGTATCAGTGAAACATGTTACTGAACTATAGATTCTATGATTTGAAAAATGCAACGTGTTTCTAGCAATATAACTGATAAAATTTACATTTAGAAACTGATAAAATTTACATCTAGAAACTGATAAAATTTACATCTAGAAACTGATAAAATTTACATTTATAAACTGATAAAATTTACATCTGGAAAGTGATAAAATTTACATCTAGAAACTGATAAAATTTACATCTAGAAACTGATAAAATTTACATTTAGAAACTGATAAAATTTACATCTGGAAAGTGATAAAATTTACATCTAGAAACTGATAAAATTTACATCTAGAAATTGATAACATTTACATCTAGAAACTGATAAAGGTTACATCTAGAAACTAATAAAGTTTACATCTAGAAACTAATAAAGTTTACATCTAGAAACTGATAAAGTTTACATCTAAAAACTGATAAAGTTTACATCTAGAAACTGATAAAATTTACATCTAGAAACTGATAAAGGTTACATCTAGAAACTAATAAAGTTTACATCTAGAAACTGATAAAGTTCACATCTAGAAACTGATAAAGTTTACATCTAGAAACTGATAAAGTTTACATCTAGAAACTAATAAAGTTTACATCTAGAAACTAATAAAGTTTACATCTAAAAACTGATAAAGTTTACATCTAGAAACTGATAAAGTTCACATCTAGAAACTGATAAAGTTTACATCTAGAAACTGATAAAGTTCACATCTAGAAACTGATAAAGTTTACATCTAGAAACTGATAAAGTTTACATCTAAAAACTGATAAAGTTTACATCTAGAACAATAGGCTTTTTGTCTATATTTTAGTGTCATTGTACTGTGTTGTGTGGTCTGTGTAGGTACTGGTCTATATTTTAGTGTCAATGTACTGAGTTGTGTGGTCTGTGTAGGTACTGGTCTATATTTTAGTGTCAATGTACTGAGTTGTGTGGTCTGTGTAGGTACTGGTCTATATTTTAGTGTCAATGTACTGAGTTGTGTGGTCTGTGTAGGTCTGGTCTGTATTTTAGTGTCAATGTACTGAGTTGTGTGGTCTGTGTAGGTACTGGTCTATATTT